CAGTTTTCTCGTGACAAAAACTCCAATGTGACTGATAAATATCAATAGAGTTGACATCCTGCAACACAAAACAGTAACAAGTGGTTGTGTAATCAAATAATGTGTTTCTAGATTGATAATATTGAATATCAGGTTTGTACTTTTATTAAAAACCTTGTAACACAAGAATTACCTGTTGGTCCTTTCTTACCCCATGCCCGGTCCCATCTTACCCCATTGGGGTAAGATGGGACCAGCTCACTTTTTTTAATCTGTACAGAAAACTATGTTGTATGCAGAAAGTCTGAGTTGTAGCTTAGAAGCCCATTGCATAACTACACCTTGTGTCTTGTGATAGGTTTAGGGTTTTTTATTTATTCATGGTATAGATGCTACATGCTTGTTAATGATTTCGGTCCTGTCTTACCCCATCTGACTATATCTTGGAATTGGATACCAGCAGTCCAGCATTATCACAAATAAGAAATTGACTAAAATATTGAGTTGATTAAGAAAATAAAAATGAACTAATTTTAATAAATTCTGGTTTGGCACTATGCCGAGCGGCCAAGCTGTACTTGTGTTGCCTTAACAGACCTCTAGGCTCTATAAATACAAATATGACATTGACAACATTGATGATTGATAAGAATAAGGTCAAGGATGAGACACAACTATTGAACTCACACAAGTGACAACTGACAAGTTTACAGTATTCAAATACTAAAATAAATCTGCAGAAGGTGAACAAGATTGGTACTAGAAAGACTAGAAGCATGATCGGTGGTTACAGTGTTAGTGGTTACGAAATATCGATCACAAATGAACACTTCCAACTTCCAAGTCCAGAGTCTAGACCCGAGCACTGACAGACTCGCTGACAGAAATGAGAATGACAGTTTGTACATTACCAATACCAAAAATACTAAAACTTTAACATAACATCAATAACATTCATGCATTATACGCACTTAGCTTTAGTTCTAAATGACACGAATAAATGAAGTTGAATTCACACCAATAACTAACAAAACATACACAAATTTTGGATAAAGAAAAAAATCGATCTTGAAGAGAACAGTCACGTCCGCACACTCTCGCCTTTAAAAACACAATGAAGCGTCATAGTTGAACTTGATATTCTCTAATTTCAAGTTCGTAGGGCAAACTACCCTAGAATGTTGTAATACTCGGTTTGGTGTTGAATCCCCTTTCCTGTTTACGTTAGCTTAGTGCTGTGAGTCGTTACAGACTCTTTAGAAAATTTTTTTTTCGTGCGCATACGTAATAATATTATGCATTATTCGAGCAATGTAGATATTTTTAGTAAGGCAGATTACTGAGATTAGTCTAATTAATTCCATATAAGTGGCCAAATGACGCGACCGCTGACCGACTGTATAGGAGGCCAATTGTTACATAAGTCTTAGTCGCTACCGCATTACGGTGCGATGAAAGTACGTTTGGGAGATATTATTTGATAATTGAATAGGGAGATTGGCCGTATCAGGCATAGGCTAAACAATTTTTCAAGCCCAAGTTTGAAGCTCAGGTCTTTTTACAGCCTCTGACAAATATACCTGCATATATATATTTTAAAAAGCTCACAAGTGATACATGTATAACTATCATGTGGACAACTCTTCACGCATCACCATAATGTTATAGAAATTAAATTAGGTTGATGATGACGTAAAAATATCAAACGAGGAAAAAAAGCACATGCGTCACATTCGTAACTGCGGTATTTGTATGACGGCAATTAATAGCTGACCAAGTTACGTACTCGTAACTATTTTTGATATAATTCATTCTAAAAAGCGTATTCTTAGTAAAGGGTTTTCACTATTCACTACCTTCACTGATTTTCCGACAACAGGCGGTTTTCAGGTGGCCATCTCAGTTCAATGGCTTCCCCATTGAGCTCCGTACAACCACAAGAACGGAGCTGAATAATTTACCTACGGAGAATGTGTTTATTCATCCCACCAACGACGCTTTCATTGTAACTGTTGGAATTAAGGATTTGTAATCCCCATTTCAGCCTGTAAGTTTTTAGTTATTGGTAACGAATTATCTTCAGTAAGGAGACAGTGAAATGCGTGATGGACCGATCAGTGGCGAATAACGAGTGAAATCAAAAACATCTCGAAAAAGTGTATAAGTCACACAATCCATTTGCCTTACTTTTCAAAATATGTAATGATAATAACTATTGTAATAAAAATATAGCATATTATGCCTTGATGTGCACAAAAGTGCATAAGAAAAGTATCACTTCTTCTCGTTGATTCGACATTCAAGAGAGTAGAATCAGTAGAATCAGAATCAACATTTCTTCTCGCTTCGAGTCACCGACACGTGGAACAGCCTCCCTGATAGCATCGTTGAAGCTCCGAGTATGAACATCTTAAAGAACAGACTAGACGAAGCTATGCAGGAGCATATGTTCAGTCTTAAAATGCCTAGCAAATTACGGAGCAGGCAATAAGTCCAGCAGCTATCTCAATCAATCGTCAGCTATGGAAGTTTTACATAATGTACGACCTGTCTCTTATACACATCTAGATGTGAAGTTCAAGAATCGGCAACAGGCCATGGGCCTATTTCTTCAACGCCGACACTTCTATTCTATTCTAT